GGAGGTAATGAGAGATAGGTTCATCATCGCTTGAGCCCTCCTTTTCTTTGTTTGAATTCTGCCCGCCATCATTAGTTGGCAATGCTTTTGCCACGTTCAGAATTTCCCACAGCTTTTCCTTTAGGGTTTGGCTTCTGGTTCCTCCTACGTTTCACCACTTGGAACTCCTCTTCCATGGTTTAGGGCTCAACTCTATCCTTTTTCTTCTCAACCACTTGTTCCTTTTCTTTGGCCTTTGTCTCAACAACATTGAGCTTTTGACAAGTGAAAGCATGATGGCCATAAGTAGTGCAATGGTAACAATAATTGGGATAAGTTTCATAAACAAGACGTTGTTTATGCATTCTCCCATTCAGCATGCGAATCATAAACTCAAGGATAGGTTCCTTAGTAGCATCCACCTCAATCAGAACCCGGGCAAACTGGTCCCTCTCTCCTTGTTGGGTAATTTTATCCGTGGTGATAGGAATACCCACTTTGGAAGCTACTTCACCAATAGCTTCTTCGTTCCATAGTTGCATAAGTAACCGGGGGAATTTAACCCACACTTCTCTCCTTGAGGAACTCTTCGCTAGTCACCGAGAAATCATCATTTAGCACTTTAAGAAAGAGAGCCTTGGCAAAGAGTGCATAGGGACCCTCCATCATCACTTTGTTCCTATCGGCCTCATTTTGGAACTTGAAGATTATCCAACCTTTGTCATGGGACCGAGGTTTGCAATGCACGCCCCACTTTGCAATCAAATCATATATAGCTTTAAGTCCGGGAAAGCGGCCTGCAAAATAGCCTACCAAACAATACCCCCACATATCTATAATAGATGGGAGATTTTTGTTAGAAAAATGAATAAAGTCACTGGTGGGAGGAATATACCTCAATTTGAACCCATGCTCAAGTGACCGATTGTCACTAAAGAGAGAGGTCCAAGCTTTCTTTGTTTCCTCTTTTTTCGGCAGCTTCCCATCCACATCGGTAGTAGCAACCACCTTGGAAGTTTCAATTGTCTCATGTGAATCAATGGCATCATCATCCTTCGGAGTTTCATTTGTGGATGTTTCTTGTGAAGTATCCTCCTTAGGAGTTTCATTAGTGGTACTATCATGAGTCCCAATAGTATAGGATTCATCCTCAGTCACTATAAGCACATGATCACCCACAACCACCTTCTGTGGAGAGTTGTTAGTTGACCCATCATTCGTTTGTAAGGTGGCAGCACCTGTTTTAGCCTTAGCACTAACAATACTAGCAACATTAGAAGAAGACGAAGGTTTAAATGAGAAAGAAGCCTCACTCTTACCCTCCGTACTCTTCTTAGCATCCAACTCAGCCTTTTCTCATTAAGCATCTTTATTTTTGCATCAAAAGCTTTATCATTAGGAGGAGGGGTGCGAGACTGTTTATTGTTTCTTGTCATGGTGGAGAAGAACAAAGAACATTGCACGTGTAGTCCAAGAGCAGCTCAAAAAAATCTGAAAAAACTACTGAACATACCCCAAGTGATAGCAAACACAATGCAAAAAACGGTATACAAAAATATTGAGCAGAAAGTTCCCAGAAAAAGATTAACTAGTTCTGGGACAACAGTCAAAGGAAGAAGGTGAACAGTAATCACGAACCCAAGAACAGCTCCAAAAATTACCAAAAAATTCAGAGGGGTAGAGTAGGTGATGGCGATCAGCATACAGGTGTTCGTTTCCAAGAAAAGAGTCCAGAAACCCCCCCGAAAATCACCAAAGACCTGTAACCTGCGCACAAGGTATTGTAGCGAAATTGAAATAGGGGAAAACTGAAAACTTACTCAAATTGGACGAAACCGGTGCCAAAAGCTTCCCCTCAGCAAGACGAGTCCAGAGCAACCTTCAGAAATTGATTTGAGCGTGTTGTTTGGGAGCTACGAACAAAAAACCAGACTGCTGTGAACAGTGGCACGCACAACGGCTCTTTGCTAACTCCGGCCAAACAGCACCTCCGGCCACCGGAAAAGGGTTGGGGAGGTGCGCCTTGGGATGGCGACCCCCACAACACTCTTCGATTCCAACAACAACCGTCAAATTTTGGATTAGAGACAAAAAAATCAGAACTGTGAACAGTAAAATCCTGCGACAAAACTTCAAAAATTTGTCGTTTTCCAGCTAAAAATCCCAGATCTTCCAACTCCAATCGGTGGAAAAGAAAGAGGAGGAAAATCTGAGCTAGGAGAAACAGGAATTAGGAGGAAAGATCGATCAAAAGAGTCAAAAGAGAGCAGCTGAGTCCGAGCAAGCTAAGAGGAAAAATGACTGTTGGAAAATTTTCTTCTTAGTGAGAGAAGCTCCCGCGCGCAGACCCCATATGGCACAATTAAAACTAAGGTATGAGTAAATTTTTTATAGTGACTAGTTCCACCGCTTTCACGGCCCCTTACCCTAGAAACCCAACTTTGGCTTGGCCCTATGGGTTAGTATACACTGCTTGGCCCTACCACTTGAAGGGTTTTTTGGGGGAGCATAGTACCACTGGTGCTAGTGAGACTCGAACACGAGACCTCTTCTATGCAGGGGTAACCTCACAACCAGCTAGGCTGGAAGTTCTGGTTAAAACTAAGGTATGGGTAAACTTTTTATAGTGACTAGCTCCATTGCTTTCACGGCCCCTTATCCCAGAAACCCAACTTTGGCTTGGCCCTACGGGTTAGTATACACCGCTTGGCCCTACCACATGAAGGGTTTTTTGGGGGAGCATAGTTCCACCGGTGCTAGTGGGACTCGATCACGAGACCTCTCCTATGCAGGGGTAACCGCTCAACCAACTAGGCTGGAAGTGCTGGTTAAAACTAAGGTATGGGTAAACTTTTTATAGTGACTAGCTCCACCGCTTTCACGGTCCTTTACCCCAGAAACCCGACTTTGGCTTGGCCCTACGGGTTAGTATACACCGCTTGGCCCTACCACTTGAAGGGTTTTTGGGGGAGCATAGTTGAGGATGGTTGAGAGATGCTGATAATGAAGCCTGCGAACTGAGAGATGCTGTTCCCCTGCAAGGTTGATGACCGATCTTGTTTATTCTATTCCACATCTCCGCAGCCCAATCATCGAAGGGTTGTTGATCTTGTTCAACCTTTTCCAGGTTATTCTCCATGTGCGATTGTGAACTGGGACCTTCTACTTGCGACATAATATGTGAACTGAGAGAAGTTCCTGCCGACGATTCCTGGTTCTCTGTTTTCCGACTGCTTGTAGGTTGGAAACGCCGCCTTATGGCTTCCTTCAGAGCCTCCATCGCACCTACTTTGACTTCCACTTTATATTTTTCCGCAGCAGCCTTGAGACGGAAATACCCTTCCATCCTAACAATCCAACTATCCACATCATCCCCGTTAAACATCGGTAAATCAACCTTTATTCCCGTATGAACAAGTCCTCTACTGTTATCGTAATCTCCTTTAGAACGAGAATGATCGGAATTTCCCAGATGCGAACTGCGACGAGAAGTGCGATGCGAGCTGCGCGGAGTGAGCGATTGATTCATCGATCGATTCTGGTTGCTGTTCATCTTCGTGAGTCTCTCCTGTATCTTCGCCAAGGTCATCCTAATTTTCTCCATTGATTTCTCCATTCTTGCTCTTCGTCCAGACCTTCCACAGCTGAAACGGAGAAATTTCTGATGTTGCGTAACTTTTTCGATCACTAGTACGATCATCAGAAACGTATGCTCTGATACCAATGATAGAATTAGGCAAATCCGACTCACAAAAGTAGAGAATTAGGAAGAATTGATCAAGACACTGATCAAGAAATCCTTATTGATGTGAACAGTAGTTTACAGAATTCGAGATGCCCAGTCTCCAAGCCTATTCTCAAGTGTATACTTACTTGCCTACCTATTTTCCTTCCCTCCCCTTCTATTTATATTGTTACATGTACACCTACTATTCTTCTTCTTATTATTTCTTATTATTAGCCTACTAAGCCAGATTCCTATCATAGTACGAGAAAGGCATGTGACATAAAGGACACAGACCTGACCCGTATACCCGACGGGTCTGAAAATTTGGACCTAGACCCGGACCCAACGGGCCTCGGAACTGGGTCGGGTAGACATGTATAACTCAAGGTTTTTAAAAAACATCAAGGTTTCTCATAGAAAATTAGTACTTTTATCCAATAAAATTTCGGTTCTTGTAGAAGCGTATAACTCCACACTCTGTGTCTCTTTCTCTTGCACAGGAAAATCGTACATTAGACTAGAAATTAGGTCACAAAAGGTGTCTTGGACTACTGAAAGTATGTATAAAAGCATATTATATATGATAATGATATATTAATATTATTAATAATAAATATTGGGTTTTGCCTCCCGACCCCAACACACACTTTATCAGTATGTAAAAACGACCACTATAGGTATTAATTGTAGGGTATCTCACTATCTCAATCGGTATCATTTATACAATAGGTATGTATTATTCCGTATCTTTTTAATTAGAGTTACAACTGATAACTTTATGTATTAGTATGTATATGTGTGTGTATTAGTTTGGTTTTTTTTATTTGAAGTATCATTACTAATCACTTTATGTAGTGTGTGTGTGTGTATACTGATAAAAAATTTAAACGGATCCGGATCGGAATGATATGTACCATACCCGACCCGTTTATAAAAAAACTAACGGGTCCAGGTTCATGTCCGGGTAAACGGAATAAAATATAGATCCATACCCGTTAAAAACAATCGGGTTCGGGTCGGGTCTGGGTCTAGACCTGACCCATTGACAGGCCTAGTCATGTCAATGAAAAGTTTTTTAGACTAAGATGAACGGAAGATTTGATTCTATTGCATGAGAGAAATGCCAAGGATTCATCTCTTGTTAATTTTGGAAAAATCCAAAATGATTAAACATTACTTGGGATCGATTTATCTAACTTGACCTTTCTGCCTCAAAAAGTTAGGTTTCAAAGGATTCAAGATGTGATGTATATGTGATGCTTTGTAAAAAGAAATCCCCGTTTTATTTTCTTAGGTTCCAGTAGTGCCACTGCAACCACTAGGGGGCAATGCTGCTCCTGTTACCAATCAAATATGGTCATCCACCGAGCTTCAGGGTACTGCCAATCATATTCGAGAGGAGGGCATACCTACTCTGTTAACTTGGAGTTATGGCGGCAACAATGTGACAGTAGAAGGATCTTGGGATGATTGGAGGTCAAGGTGAGTTACTTCTTTGTACTCATATCTTTTAAGAGCTACAGTAGAACTCTGTTATTGTTCTTATCTATTTGAATGTAAATGGTGGCCTTATCTACATATTTACTTGCAGGAAGGTACTCCAGAGATCAGGCAAGGATCACGCTATTCTCTTGGTCCTCCCATCAGGTGTATATCATTACAAATTTATTGTGGATGGTGAGGTTAGATATATCGCAGAACTCCCCTGTGTAGCAGACGAGATGGGTCGATTCTGTAATATTCTCGATGTTAATGTGAGTTTCCTTTAAATCGATTGATATATTGATTTACATTATTGAGTAATTTCTTCACATTGCTGGTGTAATGTAGACCAACCCTTTGACAGCATGAATGCAATCAATTTTCTGAGGTGTGGTTTTCTCATGTTTTCTTTAAACACCTTTGCTTTCACACTTCATGTAATGGTTTTTGTTTAATCATGGTTTTCTTTAATCATCTGCCTCAAGTGATAATTTTTCAATGCAATTGTACAAGCATGCTTGGCAGATATGTTCAAAATAACCATGTTTTTGTTTATTCACATTTATACACGCACGTGAACGGAAGGGTTGTTATTTATTTAGTTATTTAAACAGCATGACAAATATAAGACTAAGATGAAACCAGTGGACAAAAAATGATTTTATTATGTAGTGAACATAGTGGTATATATTCAGTCAGACAGTCACCATTGGGATGTACTGATGTCATTAAACTGTCTATAGTGACCGTAATGTTATTTCCATAGTGTCAATGGTCATATTTTGATCTCTTAGTTATATTTCAGCAATACTATAGTAAAAAACTCCATTCATTTAAAACTCCATTCATTTATTTATTTATTTTAGCAGGATAATGTGCCAGAGAACCTGCATAGCGTGTCAGAATTTGAGGCCCCGGCATCACCTGAGTCTACATATGATCAAGCATTTCTAGGAGAGGAGGATTTCGTGAAGGATCCAATGGTGGTTCCTCCTCAACTCCATCTAACCGTTCTTGATTCAGAACAGACAGATGGAACAGATGTTTCTTCCAAGCCCCAGCATGTGGTGCTTAACCACCTTTTCGTAGAGAAAGAATTGTCGTCATCACAGTCTGTTGTTGCTCTTGGTCTGACCCATAGGTTCCAGTCCAAATATGTCACAGTTGTCCTCTATAAGCCGCTAAAGAGGTAAAATACCTTATCTCTGGGGTTGTGGAAATGCTCACTCGTTTTCTGATTTTGGACAACTCTTGAGGTGTTTTTAACTCCCCAACTAATTAATGTATGTCTTTTCTCTCCCTCTCCATCTGTACATCTCTGATCTCATCATGCCTTACTCCTCTTCTCTCTTATGTACAAATGCAACAATATCATTACCTGCATTTAACCATCCTTACAGCGTGTCTTCATTTATTGGCTCTATCGTGTGCACGTTCCCCTTGCAAAATAAAGAGCTTGATTTTGTTATCTTTTACTCTTGTTTTTTTGGGGTGTGTCGTGTGTGTGTGTGTGTGTGTGTTTTCATGAAATGTGGAGTCCATGTATATACCTAATATCGGCATTCTCCTTGTACATCGTTGAGATGCCACATTACTGAATGTTTGAACACTAAATCTATTGGCATTATGTGTATAATCCGCTTTACTACTCCTTGCTTCGTTAATGTTTTACGCATTTATCATGTGGAAATTAACCAGCAAGAGGACCAATAATGGTAAGTAATCCATAATCAATTTGAGCAAAAGGGGAGTTCTTCCCATGTGATACTATCAGCAACGTTGGTTGATGGTGTAGATGTGTAGTCCGCAGGGCGCAGGTAGGGGGGCATATTAGCCTTCGATCTACCCCAAATTTCTAAAAATCATGAGTATATTACTAATGTACTACGTATAAATTTTGTGTAAAAATCTAATACGGAGTATTTTTATAGGCTCAGCAGTCAGCCCAATATTAGACAATATACTTTCTCCATCTCACAAAATTCTTCCCACTTGCCATTTTGGGATGTCCCAATTTTTTCTTCTCATTTCCCTTTTTGGAAAGTTTTGTGTGACTAATATTCATTTATCTTTTTCATACTCAACTACAACTCTACAAGCATACATTTCAATTTATTCTCACTTTTTTAATAAGCATGTCAAGTTAAATTGAGAAGCATTTTTTGGGACTCAAATTAGAATGTTGAAATGGTTCTATGATTTACATTCAATATATTTCATTTTGTTAAAATTATACTCCCTTCATCCCATCGGATCTTATCAATTTTTCTATTTTGATTGTTTTAAAAACTTTGTCACTTTCTTATTAAAGTAACTAATTTGTGGTTATGTTTATTTTTCTCTCCTCTTCTGTACACAACTTTTACTTTTATGTATAGAAGAGCAATTAACACTATAATGCTTATCTTAAAAAACTAGAAATAATATTATCAGAGGACAAAATGTCAGTGAGTTGGCGGAAGAGTAATCTCCGACTTGTTAGAGTACTCCCAGGCTCCTTTGGCTCTTCTTCTATTTCGGGTTGGTTAGCCTTTTCTCCTCTCTCGGCTACCTCCTCAATCTTTCCCCCCTAACTTTCCTCTCCATGTCCCACATTTCTTTGCAAGTGAATGGCAGAATGGGTGATGCCCATAAATTTTGCAATGGAAGCAATAATAATTGGGGAAAGTTTCATAGATGACCCACTTGTTTGAGATCGTTGCCCGAGGGCACAACCATTTTAAAGTCAAGTGGAGGTAGGGGTGGACTCGGGTTGGGCCAACCTGCCCGGAACCGGCCCGGCCCGCTACTGTGCAGGCCCGGACCGGCCCGGTGAACCAGTTGGTTGGTCGGTTCGGGCCACCCGGCCCGGTGGGATGTCGGTTCGGGCTCGGGCCTTTCAAAAGGTGAACCGGCCCGGCCCGTTCGGGCCCGGGCCGTACCAATTTTTTTTTTGAATTTTTTTTAAGTTTTTGGGTTGGGCTGGGTATTTTGGGCCATTTGAGGTGGTTAGGGTTGGTTTGGGGGTGAGGGGGAGGGTTGGGGGTTAACTAGGAAAAGCCAAAAAAAAAAAAGAATCGAGGCCCGGCCCGGACCCGGGGTTACCCGGGCCGGTTCCGGGCCTCCCCTTCATGAACCGAGGTTTGGCCGGGCTTTGATCAAGCGAAATTTGACGTAGAGTGACTTCATCCATAGTCATTGGGACTCCCACGATAGATGCCACCTCACTAATTGCATCTTCATTCCACAACCTCATAAGGTGTTGTTAACTTGCAATGGACACCCCATTTTTGGGTGAGACCAGGGGCGGATCCAAGATCGAGAGATGGGGTGGGCTAAGCAGAAGTAATTTTTTTTACTATACATACCAAATTTAGCCCAGGGTTGTTATCGAACAAAGATTTTTTTGAATTATATACTCGAGTTCGAGCTTGATTTCGAATCTAATTTAATGAATTGAGTTTAACAAGTTTCGAACTCGAATACGGAGTAGGTTTTGAGTTTGAATAATTATTCAAGCCGAGATCGAACATAGTGATGTTTCGATCTGAACACGAGCCTATCGTTCACATATAAATTATACTATTGTACATATCATAAAATTTAAACGTTTTAGTGCAATTTTTATAAATTTATTAATGAATAATAAAAATTTGAGTACTTATTGAATAATTTGAACATGAATCTATTAACGAGAATAGTCTAAACTTCTACATTCGAGCATGTCTATCGAGCATTGAAATCCAAATTTGAGATAGTTTGGATTTCAGGAACTACAGCATGTGGAAGATCCTCATTGACTAGATCTTGCACTGTTGTAGGTATAGGTTCAGAACTCCCTTCACCAGTTTGACGTTTCACTTTCGAAAAGAATGATGAAATCAACTTCTTTCCTTTCTTGGCAACATGTTCATTATCCATTCTAAAAAACATTTTCAATATTGGTATATATTAAAATACTTATATATAAAAAATAAAACTATTTAATTATGTACTCAAAAATTCAATTAATAATCAAAACGATTGTATGATTCCCTAGCCCTAAAACTCTAAAATGCTAAAAATAATAATAATTAATACATCAATAGTTTAATACACAATCGGTTAATCACAGTTTACAAATTCACGGCAGAAGTTCATAACTTCACTGATTCACAAATTATTTGTGGGGTGAGCTGACAAATAATTTAGGCTGGGCTGAGATTTGAAAATGTACCAATACTATTTAAAAAAAAAAAATTGGACTGGGCTGAAGCCCACCCCTGACCTAGCATACATCCGCCCTTGGGTGAGACCATGGATATCTTTAAGTAGGCAATAACCCAAACATGAATGATCAATGAAAGAAGGAACGCTACGTACGGTTGGAGAAGTCAAGCTTCTTACCTGTGGCTGTGGGTATATAGCAAAGCTTAAGTCCCTGACTGGTTGAGATTAAACAAAGCACTCCCCGTAGGATTTTCAATTTGCTTCGAGAGTCGAGACTGAGAAATTTCCTCATCCTCTTCAATAGTGAAATGATCAATAGGACCAAGAGAAGACTCACCATAGCTTTTTCCTTCACCACTTGGGTAGGGATTAATCTAGTTACCTTGGCCGGCTGGCATTTTAGTAGTAGACTAGTAGTACTCTATTGGGAGAATTATCAAATAAGCCCTCGAACTTTCATCAAAGATGCAAATAAGCCCTTTTATATGAGGTTCTATACGGCCGTCGCCATTTGGGGAGGTTTCCGGTGGAGTTTTTTGATGAAATATTTTGAGCATCTTCTTCATTAAGTCTAGTTTACGCATACCAAATTTCACCTAAACATTCAATCGGGAAGGCAGTCAAATTAATTTTGGAAGATAACTGCGCAGTTAGGCAACACAGTATATTGTAGAAAATCATTTGACTACCTTCTCGATTGAATTTTTAGCTAAAATTTGGTATGAATAAACTAGATTTAATGAAGAAGATGCTCAAAAAATTTCATCAAAAAATTCCACCGGAAACCGCCCCAAATGGCGAGAGCCGGACAAAGCCTCATGTAAAAGAGCTTATTTCCACTTTTTATGAAAGTTCGAGGGTTTATTTTATAGTTCTCTCTGCTCTATTTTTTCTTCCAAGGCATGTCAGGAAACTCCCAGACCGTTGAAGAAGACAGATGAGTGAAAAGAAGTCGTTCCAACAGCAGATGAGCACTTCGAGTTGGTCGTCTATGGATGGCAATTTACACAATTTGGTCCAATCCGTTCAGCCAAACGAAACTTATGAACCCACAACCATTCCAACGGGCGAACTTTTTTGTGCCAAAATTTTCAAAACCAATGGATGGAAACAGAAGAGGAATGATTTTCAACCCGCAGATTATGGATGGACTCGGGCCGAGTGGCCCGACCCGGAACCGGCCCGGGACCGGTACGGTTCCGGCCCGGTCCGACCCGGTGGCCCGGTCAGTGACCGGTCCGGGTAGGCCCGACCCGTGGGTTTTCCGGTCCGGGCTCAGGTCACCCAAAACAAGGCCCGTTGGAATGGTTGTGGGTTCATAAGTTTCGTTTGGCTAAAATTGATTTTTTGTTTCATTTTTTTTTAAAATTTTCGGGTTGGGCTAGGTATTTTGGGCCATTTGGGGTAGTTTGGGGGGTTGGGGGTAGGAGGGGGTTAATTAGGAAGAGGAAAAAAAATTGATAATGGCCCCAGCCCGGCCCGGACCCGGCCCGGACCCGGTGGTTACCCGGGCCGGTCCCGGGTCCACCACTCCTGAACCGCCGGCCCGCCCGGGCCTAGGCCTGACCCGGACCCGGCCCGGACCCGAGTCCACCCCTACCGCAGATTAAGGGAAATACATCGTTTTCATACGAGGGCAATTTTTTGTCTGTGAAAACACCCTTCACAGACAAAACATGTTTTCACTGACCTGTGAATAGTGTTTTCTCAAGGAAAAATGCCTACAGAGAGTCAGAGACATACAAACGCGTAAACAGTAAAATCATGCACAAAGGGATTTTTTTCACACATTAATGTGAAGAAAGAGAGCAGCCAAGTGAGTGTGAACAACCAACCTAGGGCTTCAAAAAGACTATTGGGGATTTTTTCTTTCACTATCGTGGCTATCATGAAACTGATTAAGGGGTGTTTAGAT